AGGAAAATAATTTGAATGCAAATCTCTACCTCTTTAATTCTGTACTTTAATTCTTTAGCGGTTTTGAGCCGGGGAAGGGGCAGGACGGGGCCGTTAATTTCCCTCTGTCTCACGTTATTACCGGCTTAAAGATCTACTCAGCGGCAGAGGACAAGAGTTAAAATTTCCCTGAAGGAGGGGAAGTAAGGCGATTAGTGATCGCCAGGGTTTGAATACTGAAGCCTGGGAAGGGCTCCAGATAAGAAAATCCTGGTTTCATAGTTTGTACATGAATGAAGAACAACAGGAACAAAACCACCTCTCCATCATATTCCACGCTCCGGTATTTATCCAAGGACTGCTGAACGGTCCCTCTCCTATGGACCCGTACTAATATCACTCACCTTCCTGCCCGCTGCTTGTACTACAGACGAGCCTTGTTGTGAAACTGAGCTTGCTAAAAAAAACAACTTCAGGCAACGCTCTGAAGTTACTACGCTGGCAGGCGCGGTGCTGCACCGTGAGTAGTGCCGGGAGCCCTTTGCATACGCTCCTATAGAAACTGCTGGACCTATACAACACGCTGACTACTGTCCCTCGTAAGCATCCCTCTGCACGCAGGTGCTCCTACACTACACATCCAGACGGACACAAGTGCCGTTCCGAAGTCTGTTCCACTACATTAACAGTTCATCTTTCCAAATACTGTCCATAGTTCAATATTAACAAATATTCTCTCTGCAGCATCGTCCCCAGCCCGACCCTGCGGCGAGGTGGGGCAGCCGCGTTCCCCGTGCCGGGAGGATGCTCGGGTGATGCTCGGTCCAGTAGGAGCGCGAGCCCTGGGGACGCCCCCACCACAGCCCCCTCCCCCTCCCCGCCAGCAGCCGTTGCTTCCCAGCCTGGGCCCCGCTCGCCGCTTCGATCCGTCAATACCAGGCAGGGCAGGCACGGCCCCGGCCCCAGCCCCGATCGATCGGCACAGCCGCTGCCGGCCCCGTGGGTGCTGCACTTGTTGAGCGAGGCTGCGGTGGAAGAAAAAAACCACATTTAATACATTCCTCCTCAATCCAAAGCCAAACCCAAAGGCGCAGGAGCAAGCAGAGGGGCAGCAACATCTTTTCGTGTCTTGTGGAGGCGGAATGACGGCAGCGAAAGCAAGTGCTGGGAGCCGGGGAGGAGCGGCACCCCGGGATGTGAGCCCATCCCGCAGCACGGCTGTATTACCACTTGTGGGTTTCATCCATTGCACCTGACGCCGCTAATGACATAAAAGTTTTGGTAGGAAAATACACTGGGAAAAAAACGATGAAAGTTCAGCATGGCTCGGTGGTAGTGCTGGGCTCCCGGTCCTGTGCACGTGCGGGTGACGGGGACTTTGCCCCCTCTTTTTGCCCCCTCTTGCTCTAATCATCGAGAGCAAAAGCTCCCTACGGATCAGCACGGGGCTTCTCTTGGCAAGCTGGGAGGTTACCATAAACAGCACATGATACTTTCACGGCACTTTCCACCCCAGGGATCTCAAGCCACTTATTATTAAGACAAGGAATTAATCCATACTTCCTCCCTCCAAGACCGAGGAGGACCGTCACCCTCCAGTGATGGATGGGACGGTGCCGCGGATGGCGAAAGGGGGGCGGCACCGGCTCCAAGAGCCGGGATGAGGTGGGACGCTGGCAGAGCAGAAGCTGCCGCCGTTGCGGATGCGCTTTCCGACTCACTCAGCTCGTGGCATCAGCTCTATGGGTTTATATAACCAGACTCCGAAATCAGAACATTGCCCTTACACTCCACTGTGATCTACCCTAAATACCTACAATATTTCTGGTAGTAAACAATCTCCAAGACTCATTTCTTAGAGCAGCAGCAGATGGTCAAGAGCATTTCCTGAAATTGAATATTATAATGAATTTAGGATCGAAAAAATTTACATAATAATCTGTTTTAGATTCTGATAGTGAAGAAACCTACACAGAAACTGCTTCTTTTCAGCTATTTGAATTAAAGTATAAATCTCCAAGTACTTTAATTATAAACAAACTCTTTGCTGTTCCAGATCCATGAAAGAAATTGAAAAATTAACTACCCAGTGAAGCTCAAGGCCACATGTCAGGCTTAATTCATCGGTGAGTTTACCTCTTGCGACCCGGCGGCTGGGCTCCCCCGACAGCAGCTGGAGCGGGATGCTTGGGGGCCGTGCTCAGCCGGGGTCTCGCCTGTTGCGCCTGAGCTGACTTGAGATTTGGCTGATCCTGCCGAGTCCCCATCAAACTGCATGGCCAGCACGATCCCACAACGGTTTGGTTCAGACTGGAAAACCGCAGAGCTGTCCAGGGAAGGCAAAAGGTCTTGGATTGGGGCGGTGTTTATGGCCTTTGAGCTCTTGGCTGCAGGGGGTCCCCAGGTCTGCACCCACAGCTGGGGATGGGGCTGGGGGTGAAGGTGGAGATGAGCGCCGAGGTGGGGATGGAGATGGAGATGGAGATGGAGGTGGAGGTGGGGATGGGTGGGGTGAAATGAGAGGAGAGGGATGGGATGGCACGGGGTTGCATGGCACGGCACAGGTGGGATGGGACAGATGGGATGAGACAGGATGGGACAAGACCATGCCACCCTGGGGATTAGCTGTGCGCAGATCCTGGTGAAGGAAGATCCTCCAGAACAGGCAGAAAGCCCTGGTTGCACACCATCGCCAGGAACCGGGTCCCACCATGCCTCCCCTTCCCACTCCTCACCCGCTCAGGGTGCCAGCGGTGATGCACTGCAGTGAGGCTGCGAAAACCCTCTCGGGGTCATCTCCCCATCGTGGCACCAGGAACAACCCTGGCAAAACCCGCCCTGCGCGAAGCACGTCCCTGGGACAACCCGTGTTGGGCTGTGATGGACCCACCGCAGGGGCCGCCGGCGGTCAGGGCTCCGGCAGAGACACCCCCATCCTCCCGCGGTTGCTGGACCACAGGAAAATTTCACTTCCCAGCATTGTGCCAGGAGATGCAGAGGGCCTTCCCTTTTAGAAAAGCAAATATTTAGTCTAGATAAAAAACCCCAAGAGCGTTTTCCCCAGGTAATACTAGTAACTAAAATAATCACATTCACTTTGCTGGTTTAATTTTATATTTCCATTTCTACCTTATCTTTTTTCTGCAAGCATCATTAAACCACACCATAACAAAAATACATGAACTGTTATTCTTTCAAGAGAAGCCATAAACCACCTCAAAGCTTTTCAAGTTTATTCTTATCTCGTACATCTTCCTATCTTGATCTGGTTCTTTTTTTTTTTTTTTTTTTTCCTTCATGCATTTCAGAAAGGTAGTTTTCCCTAATGTTAAGAATAGTTGCATTGAAAATGAGATGCTGCCTGTGAAAAGCCCCTCTGGAGGATTAAGTAAGTAAAATATAGCCAGAAAATAAACTGGAACCTCATTAAAATAATTTTGCAAGAAGAAATCCTACTTTACAATAGGTTTTCAATATCACTTAGAAAACTCTTCGAGTCATATATATATGTTCTTAATTCAGGACCTTCCATTAAAAAAGACATTACAGAGGGAACTGAAAGGCCATTTAGTACCCTTGTTTATATAAAAATGCATATTAGGCACAGATGCAATCTCCAGCAAAAGACTTGTGATGTAGTTTGAATAAGCTGCGCTTTGCTGAAAGGTGCTAATGAGGGCTGGCAAAGCTGCGAAGGCGCCGCCAGACACCACCACCTCATTTATTCTGCCAGGTAACGCGAACCCTCGCGCATCGCTCTTGCATCCCCCTCACTTTTAACTATTCTCCCTCTTGCCGATTCCCCTATGGCACCGTTGGGAAGCTGGGGTTCACCCGGGCTCGGTTCGAGACAGTTTTGTGGCACCGACTTGCTCCGTCCTCAGCAGACAAGGCCGTGCCAGCTTGGTCCAGGGTCGCAAAACCACCCAATTCCCCCCATCTGTCATTCATGGGATGGAGTTTGTGCGCCAGGAACAATCCCAAATGGAAAAGGGGTAACTCTCCTTGCCGTAACTCAGTGTCACATAAATTTAAAATATGATACTATCCCATACCTTGATATAAGCACGCACGAGACACTTGGCTGCAGCACTGGTGGGACAAACCCCATCCTGCACCGCCTGCAGCATCGCTCCACCATCCACTCCTTGTTCTCACCCTGGGATCCCCGTGGTCCCGACCCCATCTCCAGCTCCCCCCTGCCCCGGCCCCACACCGGTACCCGATTGCCCGGCACCACACAGGGATGGGGGACGTTTCCCAAAGCACCGGCACCTGAGGGAAGGTGAGGTGACAGCGAGGGGTTGCTGCGCTGGTGTGCCCGGGCAAAGCAGCACCCTGCCCCTGGGAAGACTCGAACATACAAAGGGAAAGGCACATCTGCAGCAACAGCTTTCGAAATGGGAAAAACGATGCCAATTCTGGGCAATGGAAAGAGGAGAGGAAGGAAAGCATCGTTTTACTATTCATTGCCTCCTGCAGGAGAAGCAGGCAGCAATCGCTGCCATAATTAATTAAACCCTTGAATAAGGCTAATGATTTATATAGGCATGGAGGTCCTCTGAGTCCCTGGTGACACTGGTCACCCCAAGCTGCTCCATGGAGCTGAACGTGTCCCCTCCTCGTGCTTTCCCAGGGCGGTTTGGTGCTCGGACATTTCAGTAACACCTCACCAGGACCCTGAACCCGCAGGGTGAGGTGGTGTCTTTATCCACTGTACAAACCTTTCAAAGGCAGCTTTAAAAATGTTAGAAAAGGACATTTATACCAAACCACAGGCACCACAGCTTCCCTCCACGGAAGTGGCCATGAACTGGCAGAGTCGGGGCCGGATCTGTGGGACACGCAGGATGCGATGTTCAGATCTTCAGAGAAAAGAGCTGAGCTACCGCTTCCCAAGCGCAGGGGAAACACTGCTGAGTTCGCAGCTTCTAAAACAGGCCAGCGGGGAAAAAAAAAAAATAAAAATTGGCAGGTTTAACTTTGCATCAATTCACAGCATATTGTTATATTTTTTAAGCATATAAAACTATTGATCATAAGCAAGGCAATTACTTCTGCCCATATTTAAAGGCAAGGAGCAGGCGGTAAGGAGTCATCACCGAACCCGCCCAGCGGTTTCTCAGGAGGGGGCAAACACCTCCGTGAGAAGGAAAAACTCAGGGGTGGGGGCTCCTCACACGTGAGCCCACACATCTGCAGGGCTGGAGGTCTCTAAACCAGAGTCATAGAATCACAGAATGGTTTGGGTTGGAGGGATCTTGAAGATCATCCAGTTCCACCCCCCTGCCCTGGGCAGGGCCACCTCCCACCAGCCCAGGTTGCTCCAAGCCCCGTCCAACCTGGCCTTGAACACCTCCAGGGATGGGGCAGCCACAGCTTCTCGGGGCAACCTGCCCCAGGGGCTCACCACCCTCACAGGGAAACATTTCTTCCTGATATCTAATCTAAACCACCCCTCTTTAAGTTTAAACCCATTCCCCCTTGTCCTATGGCTCCCCTTCCTGATCAAGAGTCCCTCCCCAGCTCTTCTGGAGCCCCTTTAGGAACTGGAACGCTGCAATAAGGTCTCCCCGGAGCCTCCTCTTCTCCAGGCTGAACCCCCCCAACTCTCCCAGCCTGTCCTCCCAGCAGAGGGACTCCAGCCCTTGCAACATCTCCGGGGCCTCCTCTGGCCCCGCTCCAACAGCTCCGTGTCCTTCTGCTGTTGAGGGCTCCAGCTGGACACAGTACTTCAGGTGGGGTCTCACCAGAGTGGAGTAGAGGGGCAGAATCACCTCCATCGCCCTGCTGGCCACACTGCTTTTGATACAGTCATGGTTAAATCATGGAAATTGGCAAGATGGGAACAGTTTTGGACATCCTACTGAACAAGAAGCTAAAATACAGGGGACCTGCAGATGTACCTCCAGTGTACTGACAAATACTTTATCTCCAAAGGCTTCAAAAACCAGTTTAAGTGTAACTACTGTTCCAAATCCCATTGAAAACACAACGAGAACATCTTCAGCTACCTCCAAACCTCCGTCATTTTGAGTTGGGCCTCGAAATAGCTTTAATAATCCTGTGACTGGAGCCCAAGGGAGGTTAAAGCCTCTTCCCTTGAAGCAAAGTAACCCCTTAACCTCCCAGCCAGAACCTCCCCCAGTCGTTAGGATGATATCGGTGCAAAATCCGAGCCGTGCAGGCGTCACACATGGCACAGCCACTGCAGAAACGCCTCTGCGGTGACCAAACCTGATCGTACATGATATTTGGGTTGCAAGTTTTGTAGAGAATAAATATCACACTTCAATTTCATGGTAACTTAGGAGGGTTTACTGGCAAATACCATGGCTTTTACATGGTTCTACCAATTACCGAGCAATTACATGTAACCTAGATCTGGAGGACATACAGTAGCGATATAATGTATTCCTCTCTGCGTTAGGAAGAAAAAGGCAGTTAATCGAAAACACTCTTTTTTTTTTTTTTTTTTCAAATTATAAACCCCTCCACAATATTCGTGTGTGACATTATTAAAACTCCACATCAATATCAAACCCAAAGCAAAGACTGCCATCCCATTAACACATCAGTTGTGGGATGATCAATAAAAATTTACTTTAAACTGCACCATATGTCGCTCCCCACAAAGTTTTATTATCCAGATTCATCAGTTTGTACCTCAACCCCCGTGCAATTAAATCCCATTTAGCAGCACTGACCTTCTGATTTGAACTTGTCATTCCTACAGCTGGTTTGGAGTTTAACAGCACTTTTAAATAATGAAAACAAAATGTCTGTGAATTAACGGCGGGGTACGGGGAGCCCTCCGCCAGGAAAGCCCTCCCGCGCTGCTGCCGGCGGCACAGCTCCCGCGCTGAAACTGGGAGGGGGGGGGAAAGGGAAAAAAAAAAAAAAAAAAGAGTGCCAGCACATTTTAACATGTTGTAGCATATTTGTAAACATCGTTAATCACGGATTAGCAGATGGTAATGTTAATTGCACCTGTGGAAGTAACAAGACCTCAAGGTTGATTACATTTACAAACTCGGATCGGGGCTGTGGCGCGGTGGAGGATTCCCCGTCGCCGGGGAAGAAGGTGCCCCAGCCATGCAGCATCCCGTCAGCCCTGGTACCACCTCGAGCTTTGAAAAGACAAAGAAGGTGTTCTCCGTCCCAAAGCCCTCCCAGCCTCAGGAAACCTCATTGGGACCCAGTGATGGATTTGATGGAACAGGATTTTTTCCAGTCGTGTTGATAATCTGTGCACAAAAGCGCAATTTGGGGCATGAGCCGAGCTTCTCTCACAGCCAGTTCTCCCTGGAGTTGATTTTTTGAGGGATGAAAAGATTTGTGTTCGCCCTTGTCTGAGGACGAAAAGGCCAAGGCGTGGAGCGCATCTTCTGAACCAAGGAGGACAAATATTTTGCCACTGTGCTTAGAGACACTTTGATTATTGAGAAATCATTTTGGAAGGGCAATTACTAAATTTTAAAATCAATTTGGTAAATAAGCCTCTGAAAGGAATCTATGACAAGCAGCAGGGAGGGAAGAACTGACTTTCAGATTACACACACACACACTTTATTCATATCTAAATATCAAAGAGACTGTATGTACAAACAGAAGTAATCAGGAAGCATGTTTTGATCTTGCTGATGTACACAAAAAATGACAATTAATGTCCTCCTTTATGATATAAAGCTGGGAGTTTTTTACAGTTACATTACAGGGACGATTATAGTCAAGCTTAAGGCTAAAAATAATGAAAGACTATAAAAACTACATTTTAACATTTAAAAATATCCAGGAAATTAACTGGAGAAGCAGGCAATGATCCAATTAATGGATCGCATTTATTAGATCGGGGGCGAATCGCACAGCCCAAAGCTCCATCTCCAAAGGTGTGAGTGCACAGAGGTCCCCGTGCTCCTCACAGGTCTCAGCCCAGAGCAGGATGGAGCTGGAGCAGAAGGCGAAAGCATCGGCCACGGCACATACATCTAAAAGCGACGCCAGAGGGGCATCCCAGTGAAAAAAAAAAAAGCAGGGCCAGAATTTACCATGGAGGCAAACAGGCTAAATGCAAACAGCAGAGCTGCCCGGAGCGGGATTTACTGCACTCACAAAAGCCTGTATTGCAGTTCTCAAGCAAAAAGAGAGCCCTAGTTACGCACTCAAATTCCTCCTTCTTAAAATCCAAGCCTCGTGCAGCTCCCAGTGAGCCTTCTCCGATATTCCAGTGCCAAATTAAGGTGCTCCATGGACACAGCGGCTGTATGGGGAAACTCGCAGGGGAGTGGCGATGGCTGCTGGACTGATGGGCAAGGGATGGCGGGAACTTTGATCTACCCCACTCACCCCATGAGCAGAGCCACTGCAGGCACTGAGGTTTCAAAGGTTTTTGAGAGCCTTCCCAAAGTAAAGCAGCTCCTCCACCGTTACTCACCTGCCTCCTCCTCAGAGAGGGTGAGCCGGCGTGGGTAAGCACAGTCTGAAAGCGCCCAGCTTTCCCAGGCACACACAAACCCAGTGAACTGCCTCAACTTATTAAATACTGCTCAAATAAATAAAGAAAAAAGGAGAACCTGCAGTTCCTGTGATATCAGAAAAATATGTATGCTAACCTATAGGTCAAGAGTAAAAGAAACGGCTTTACCCTCATCCCTGCTGCTCCCAAGGAAGGATTCAGTTAGCCCCAAGCGCTGAATCTTTCCTCTGAAAAATGAGCAAATCTGAGCCACGGGCACCCTCTGCTGGGGCACCCACGGCTGCAGGAGCAGTGCCGGCAGCGGGGGGCTGGCCTGCAGCCTCCCTGGCCACAAACCTTTTTATTTCAGCATAAAAAAAACCCCAAACAAACAAACAGGAAAAAAAAAAACCAAAACAAAACAGACATTCAGCCCATAAAACACAAGAGCTGTTGTCACCCCAGCAACACACCAGTTCACCGTTAGTCGGTGACCAGCTCGCCTTCAGACTCAGGCAGCAAAGTCCTGCTTGGACAACAGCCGTTGGTTTGGAAGGATTTGGATTTTGTCCTTTTCCACTGGAGAGGGGGAAGGGGCAGTCACAGCTCAGGATATGTGCCACTGTGCCAGGCACCCTCTCCGTCACAGCCACAGAAGGGAGTACTCGACACCTCTGAAGAGGTCCATGTCCTGTCCTGTCCCCGATCCTGGGCACCTGGGCCATCCCCAGCCCCGCAGCCACCCACCGACGCAGCACCCACTGTCCAGGCCCTCGAAGGGACACATCTGAAAAACCTCCACATCCACAGACTGGTTTACAGACTTCATTTAGCTCAAAGGAAAGTCCTAATTAGTCACTCTGAGTGATTTACTTGTTCATTTGGAAGGGGGGGAGGGAGGAGACTAAGCTGAATTGTTTGAAATTATCCCTAAAGGGCACTGTAAATTAAGTGTTAATGAGGAATCCTATGCATAGGGCCACAGTAGCTAAATAAAATAATTAAGGTGCTAAGTGATAACATTCATTTGGTTCTCAATAATTTAGCCAGCCTGGTTTTCAACCAGGATATTTCCAAATGAAGCAGCCACCTTCACACCCTCCCATGCCATCAGCGGGGACCAGTGGTGCTGGGGCAGCTCAGCATCCAGTAGGATCAGGCCCACCATGGAAAGGAAACTTCCCTGGAAGAAGAGAACAAGCCCCTGATTCCCCTTCCTACCTGAAGGAAGTGCTCCGTTCCACTAATCACACTCTGGCTTTATACGTGACACAAAAAGGATTGACTCAAGTCGACAACCAATCTTCACAGAGGCTTTATTTCGGTGGGGTGGGTTTTTCCCCGTACAGCTGTTTTCTAACAGCTCGTGTCCATCCTTTGGCAGGGCTGCAGACCTGGTTTACGACCAAATACAACACAAGTGTGTTTTCAGATATTCAAGCAGCAGTATGTAACAAAGAAACCAGCTCATCATGAAGAAATTTCTACTGAGTAGTCCCAAATCATACCTGGTTCTCACCAGCACCCTCTTGGCTGCTAAGGGGGCGGTGGGCACGGGCACAGGGTGGCCATGGGGCACCGCTGCTCTCAGCCGAACACCACACCACCAGCGATGTGCAAAGTCCCCGGTGCAACATGCACGAGGCTCACAGCCATCACCTGGTATTTTACTGCAAAAACTGAAGGATTTGGCTGTCTGCTTTTAAAACCTAGCTTTGTTTCCCTTCCTTACAGCCGCTCCTCCGAGATGCTGGTGGGAGGTGTTACTGAGTACACACAGGTGTCCGACATCAGCGTTAAGCCAGGGTTCTGGTGGTATCCTGTGTCAGCCAAGATGCAACTCAGGTCATTGGGGGTCTCCCTGTAACTTACAGCGATGGTGACGACCCTGGAAAGGGCACTTCCATATCCACACCAGCAGAGCACAGCCATGAAAGGCCAAACAGTTTCCCCCACCAAAGAAAAAAATTCAATCACCATGCCTCAGCTTTTGGCTGCAGATGGAGTGCAGGAGAATACCTGTAGGAAAGTAAAAATAAATTAAAAAAATATATATATCTTTTTTAAACCACAAGAAAATTGTTCTGCAGGCCTGGATGCTTGATTTTTAAATACAGAAATTTGGACTACAATGCCTTTGTGCATCAGAACTGTTTTTACCAGTAGCAACAGAGACGTTCAGTGACTCAATCCCGGGGTGAAGCACCCTGCCAGGGGGTATGGCCAGCATCCGATGGCACAAGAGCTGCGTCTCCAGGGAAAGTCCGTCACCTTCGCTACCTGCAGAACAAAGACACTGGTCAGGTCAGCTCGCAGCCACTGCCACGTTCCTTTTTCCCAAGTACAGTTGTTGCTAATGCTCTGTCACAACTACACCCTGCCTCTACGCTCACCAGCAACCTCAGCAGCTCCCATGCAGCAACAGCCAAGAACTACCAGAGGCGAGACGGGCACCTTACCTGCCTTCCCTTCCTGGCCCACTGCAGTCCCCGCATCTGTTCTCCAGTATCTGAAGTGGTTTTGAGGGAGACCTGTGCAACACGCCTGCATGCACAGCATAAAGCGCAGAGCCTTGTAGCCTGAGTGCAACGATGCTCAGCCCGAGCAGCCACCGCGCCAGCAGGCGCCTGCCCAGGTACGTGGGCTGCTGCCAGAGGGACAGGGCAGACAAGAGGCCACAGGCCTGATCTGGTCCAGCAAATCCCACATCCCTATCAATAGTGACGGGTTCAGCCTTTTCAGCACACAGTACCACCAGCTGGGTGCAACTTGTGAATGCAGACAGTTTAACCAGAGGCTTCAATTGATTAGTTGTTAAACCATCCAACAGCCCTGATGTGTTTGGGCTGATACACTGGTGAAACAGAGTTGAAATCTATCCCAGGTCATTAGTAGTTGTTTGACTCACACTGTCACAAAGGGAAATGGAAAGGGAGAGGCTTTAAACAATCCTACGCGCAGACAAGTGAAAATGCAGAAGACCACAGACCTCCCAGCCCGCTCAACTCCCCAAAGAATTCTTCCACATTCATTATTTAGAGCTACAAAGACAGCTACACGACTACAAGAATACCCAGCTCATTTCTAAGACGTGCTCACCCTCTGACAAAACAAGCTCAGCATGCTGGAATCGAAACGTTGCCCTCCAACAGCCATACCCTGACCTGGGCTGAACCCCAGGCTCGTCCTGGGACGGCACTGCCGGTGCACACACTGCCTACCCCGGGCTTCTGCGCCTCTGCCTGCCTGACCAGCGCTCTCCCCAAGGCCTCGCTCAAGCTCACATAAATTTATTTTCCTTCTTTCTTTAAGCCAGAAGTGCAGACAAGACCTGGGTGAGTTATCCAAAGTCACAAGGAAGCCTGGGCGACACAAGGAATCAGAGCCAGGACTCCCATGGCCCGGCCTGTCTCTTCATCACTAGACTGTGACTCTCTAGGGATGCTTCAAGAAAAAAAAATAATATTATCCTACTTTTTCCTGATTCAACACAGAAAAGTTCTACAACTTACAGCCATATTTGTCTCTTGAGCCTCTCAAAACCACACTCTCGTGGGACTCTCCAACTGGGACAGCAGCTATTGCCAGAGGTACGACAGCTCCTGGAGCGATCCTCTCCTCTCCCTGATAAGGGTCTTACGATTCCTAATAAAGGCAGCAATTTTGCTTCCAGCTTTTACAAAGCTTTTTATGGCTCTGGCTGCTTAAAATAATTAGGAACCATAAATTCAGGGCAAAAAGACTTGCACAGAGTGTGACACGAGGGAGGGAGTATTGACTGAATCAGAATAAATCCTAGTTTATACTGGTGAACAAAACACTTTGCACTTCGCATCTTTGACTTCCATCTCTCAGCTTTTCCCCTCACTGACAGGCCTCAAAGACCAGAATTAGGGTTTGGCTGAAATGATCAAACAGGTTTCCTGTCCAGTTTACAATTAACACCACTGTAACAACCGCAGTTTCCAGTGAAGGAAGCTCAAACCCAGGCAGAAGCAGACACGCTAGCAGTTCAGAACAATATGCAAAATGAGCTTCTCAGTAAAACCAGCAATTCCATGAAACCCCAAGCTAAAGACTGAAGCTAAAGAAGAACAAATTACCCAGAAACTCTTCTTGCTCAGACATCTAAGCGCTCCCAATCTGTTCCTGTTCACACAAGGCTCCCAGTCTTCCGGGCAGCCAGCCTGCCTGTCACCTTCGGCAATGACTCCAGTGCAGACACCATTAAGCTGGACTGTCCAAATCACTCTCTGCCAAGCCAGCGAGGATGCCAGGAGGGTGAATTCACGTCTGCAAATGCTTAACTTACAAGACAATCTGTGCAACGCTAGGAAGCTCGCTACCATGCTAAATTATCTCTGCTGCTCTCTGTTTGCAGCTGCAGGTACGCTACATATTCAGATCTAGGATGTTTCTTCAAACAACCTCGGCATCAGACGACTGTAATGTTCAATTTTCTTTTCAGCGAAGAGTTAGTGCTCAGCAGAGAGTTGAAATCATTACTGCAGCAAGGTCCGGGAGCTCTCCTCATGCATCTACCAATCAGCCTCCAATCTCCCTTGACAAAAGGATATTTGGACTTTTTCCTGGAGAAATCTCTCATAATTCAAGGTAACGACACCACTGCCACTTTCACCCCCTTCCTCTCTCCTGGTGTTGTCGTCGTTTCTGGGATGCATTTCTTTGTGGTCCATCAGCAGCACTGCCAGCCTCCCTACTCCCTTTATAATATAGCTCCACACATCTTGTAGAGATGCCAGATTTGCGGCGTTGTCTTGTCAGTATTTCTAGGAGTTCAATAAACATTTTAATTAAAGGAATGTCTTCTGAGCCAAGAAAACCGCAGCACGGGACAGGATTACAGCCCCTTGATGGCTCATCGCCAGCACGACACTACTTCCAAGTGTAAAAGCTCAAACCAGCTCTTGTGACAGGTGACACGAAGTGGGGAGCTACAGCATGGCTGCAGAAAGGTGCCTAGAGCAGCATTACTGGGTGAATGTCTTTCCCCAGCTGCCATGAGGCCATTACTCCCCTTCTCTTCACTTTCTGAGATGCTGCACAACCCCCAACTCCGCCTACAAAAGACAGCATCCTTTGCAAGTGTCCTCTACACAAAGCAGGGGGAGAAGCAGAGGGCCCTGGAGGAATTGCCCAGTTTAGGTGCTCAGGAACGTGTCCCCCGTTGCTCAAAGAGTGCACAGGTCTGGCAGGGAGGAGGTTACATCTTCTCCTCCTGCTGATACTGCAGCAGCCAACAGCTCCTGCCTTCTCCTAGGCATACAATAGCAGCCACTGACTGGTCTCCGTGGTGGTCTCTGTGCCACAAAGCCCCACTTTGTGTTCAGACCATCCCCAACAGCAGCTCCTCATGCTTCTTTCCAGACCTGGGCACAGAGATATATTCCTGTTTTTTTAAGAGGAAACATGACAGAGCAATGACATGGCACAGCTCGCTATTACAGCCTCCATGCAGCACGAGCAAACACGTACTCCTGGGTCTCTCACTGAGCTTTGTGATTCACCAACACAGAAAATGCAGGTTCGGGGCTCTAGGACAGGATCAAAAGCGCTGCAGAACACAATGCAAAACAACATGCTGTTGCTGCACTGACACAGACCTGTCCTGCCACTGAAAACTGCCACCTAGACCCTCTGCAGCTACTAAACTCCCTGTTCACCTACACAAATTGGTTTGTTCTTGCAGGTCCTACTGGGAGGCTTCTCATCTCCCTGTCTCCTTCTGGGTCCCTATTCCATTTGCAGCCGGATCACTCTAGTACTTCTTGCTCATCTTTTGTTTTCCAGTCCAAAGTGTGATGCAATGTAACAGACCTGCAACCAGCTTTGGTGTGAAGCATTCCCCTGACCATTCCCTTACACACACCCCTCCACCAAGCCCAAAGCTCTGTAAATTGAAATACCTATTACTATAATAACGGGTTTATTCCACTGAAATTCCAAGCAACTGATGACAGGAACATTTTCCACATCCTCAGGCTTGCTGACTGTTCCCACGACTTCCCAGCCTTCTGCAGTTTTAGCCTAGAAAGGAAAAGGAAACAAATGTTAAAAAATTGCCTACTTTTCAAGCTTAAAAATAAAATAAGTCATGTATTCAAACACTATTTTTTTTTAACATTTTGATTTAAGCTGACTGTCTTTTCTGGTTTTGGCATCCCTTGAAATTTTACCACCAAAGTCCTACCAGTACCAGCACACAAACCTTGATTTAAGAGAAAGAAAAAGAAAAAAAAAAAAAAAAAGTAATTTTCTTTCTGGTGTTTATTCCAGTTCAGCAAGCAAACAAACACCAACTGAAAAGCTTTTTTTGCCCATACAACAATCCTAGGAAGGTTTTTGCCAGGAAAGCATACAAAAAGAGCACTGTTAAACAAATTAGCATACGGCTAATCCACAGAGCAATGCAGTGGAAGTTCTCAAGTGCAGGCTCAGCCACCAGAAGCCCACAGGAATGTTTTCAAATGCAAGTGCATATTTTCGAACTCAGATGCCAAAAATCAGCTCATACAAAAGGCAGTGCACTCAACACTCAGTGCCTCACACAACCAGAGAACCGGGCTTCCCTCCTGCACCCTAGTAAAAAAAGCCTTAATTATTTGTCTTGGAAATCCATTTTAACAATAAAAGAACTGCTGCTCCTTGCCAGCTTCATTTCCTGTGAAATTGGCACTTTTTACATTACGTTATATCAAATTTACACCAGCCAGGCAATGCCAAGGGTTAGGCCTGTGAATCTGGGTCCAATTAAATGAACTGCTGCAATGGCTCAAAATGTTAATAATTCAAGTTTTACAGTAACAAAGTGATTCTTCCAGCTGTTTCAATTAAATATCAATACATTTTATGTGCCTTTCATTTCACCATCATCCAGAGCTCCAGCTGCCACAGACCTACTATACAGCTGGACAACTGCTTTCTAGCACACCAAGTGGGAAGAGTCCAAGCTTACCTCCTCTCGCCCTCCTCGCAATCACCCCAGACTATGACGACCTCTTCCTCAAAGGGACACAGGCATGCAGTCACCCCAGCAGCGCAGACAAGGTGCCTCCATTCCCCTGAGGGTCTGCAGCCTCCCATCCCCTGCTGAACCCTCCAACCCCACTGTTCCCCCAGGTCTGGGGGATCCCACACCAACAGGGGAGGGCAGATGAGAGCCTGCAGGTCCCTGCTCCACACGCACACAATATTCAGCGGGTTTCCAGCCTAGCCAGGGCACAGGGGACCTCCACGAGGAGTTGGGGCAGTCACACAGTGCTATCATAAGGGGATGGATGCATTCTGCCAATTTAAAGCAACATCCCTGGGTTTGTTTCAGTTTAAATCATGTTTTTCCATATGCATTCCCTTTCCTTTTGCACCACGTTTAGCAAAGGGCCCCTATCTCCCCTCACCGCATAGGTGGAGCGTAAAAAGATTCCCAGCAGCTCGCACCAGCCCTGGTTTCTCCTCTTCCCTGCTCCAAAGGCTGCCCAATGCTGCCATCGTGTGCCTGGGCCCCGGGATGCTGCCTCCACCATGTACTGGGCATGACCTGCTGCAGGCACAGCTCTAGCTCTGGCCCCCACAGAGAGAAAAGGAGACAGATCCCATCTTACTGAGCTCACAGCCTGAGTACGGGAGACAGACAGTGTTATCCTGCCATCGCCATCTTCCAAAAAAGACCCACAAGTCAGACCTGTTACCCCATCCGATGGAATGGGACTGGGTGTGTGTGCCTGTAAGAGGTGTTCCAACAGCACAGACCACCAGCAGCAAACAGGAATGCAGAGGAGGAGCACAGGACACTGCAAATAACTGAGTCTTTTTCCTGTACCTCCTCTCTGTTCAATATATGCAATATTTGAGGTTTCTGGAAAGGAAAAGGAAAAAAAAAAAAACCACGGATCATTCTACCTTCAAAAAGCTCCGGAGATCATCTGTGCTGTAGACATCGAAGACTTCCATAGCTCCAGAACTAGCTTTGCTCACTGTTGGAGTCAAGGGGCAGCTGCAAGGAAAAAAAGAAAGGAAAAGTATCATATGAGAGCAAAAAAGGAAATCCATGAGAATTTTTGTTTCTCTATTTCCTTCTCTTGCCTCTGCCACCCAATTCCAACTAGTTCACTAGAGATCTTGCTCACTATACAGATATATTTTCCTATAGAGATTAGGAGGGCTCAGAAATTAACCCAGGAAATAGGTTGTAGCAGTTTTGTGCACAGATGGACAACTGAAACACAAAACGTGTTAAAACAAAAAGTAGCCAGGGAGGTTCCTTACCAGCCTGGAATACCACGTTCTGCAGCCTCCCTGCAGAGCACAACGCAAAGCAGCAGCGAGCCAAATTCAGCTCACAAGCTCAGTCCTAGAAAACCCTCTAAAGAAGCCGTCAAGCAATGCAGGCTAGAAAACTCTTTGGGAGCCAGCAGGAAAAGAAACAGAAAAGCTGAAGGAGCAGATAACCAACCCCGTACCTGTTCTTCTGGCTTGTCACCACTCTGTCCACCCCCAAGAAGTACGCAGAGCGCAGCAGTGCCCCCAGGTTCATGGGATCCTGAATCTGCTCCAACACCAGCCAAATCAGCTGTCGGTTCGGACTCTCTTCATCCCCCAAATCAGGTTTTTCAGCTTCCTCCAAACTCTTGAAACGGAGAGGAGTGGCCTCCAAACAAACTCCCTGGTGGACCTGACCTCTGCACAGAGCATCCAGCTCTCTTCTTTTGACGTGGTGCACAGGGACTCCCCGGGCCATGGCCTGAAGGACAAACTCACTCATAACAAGCCGCCGAGAGCCACTGCTTTGCTTGAGGAACAACCTGAACAGGTCCCTTCTCGACTGGGAGAGGGCCAGGGAACACGGTGCGATCCCAAATAAGATCTCTGAGCCTTTAGTCCTCTCGATGGACAGAGGCTTTCGTTCCAGGCTCTTCCTCGCCTTTGAGAAGTCACCCACTCGTGAGCTCCATGACTCCCTGTTGGCTGGTGAAGCCTGCCCAGCCCCTCTCTCGTACAACTTGTGCCACGGTCGTGGCCGGCTCTGCGGGGACAGGCCCCCACGGGAAGTACGGGAGTCAGTCACCACCCGAGCACCCTCCGGGAGGGCCAGTGGGGGAAGCTGACCACCACCATCCCCACCTCGGGGTGGCCCTTCCTCATCCCCACGCGCGGCTGGCAGTGCAAAGGGCGGGGGCCACTGCTCCCGAGTGGAGCGGTGTCTCCCTCCCCACCACCAACGGCCGCAGTTCGCGGGTGACAGCCCCACGGCCCTCCACGCACCGCACTTGAACACTTGTTCCATTGGTGCCCTCAAGGCCTTTCCACGGACGGGCCAGCACAGGGACCGGTAACCCAG